AGTAAAAATGAAATGTTAACTTTGCCAAACTGTATCTCAAAAACGAAGTCGTTTTCAATATATGTTTGTATGAATGATATTTTCATTTAAAAATTGGATTTCCTATCGACCGTTAAATTCCTTTTCGATGGAAAAAAAACCAGGAAATCTTAAAATTGTGTAAACCAAGAGATAATTAAAAGGAAGACAAATATTATAATTAAACTACGAATAAGTGGAAAAACGAGAAAATTCCCCAACAATTGCTTTTTAAGCAGCAAATATATTTCAGGCTCTTTAGATCAACAGAATTTTAGATAATCACCAATGATGTTTTTATATAAAAACATCTATTAGTAGTCCAACTCTCAATTAATACTAAAAGTTCCCTAACAAACTTATCCGTCCAGCCGCGGCATTGTCAGATTTAGCAAATCACTACGGTGAGAACAGAGAAGAGGACGTTGTTAGGTTAGTGCTGGTATCAAATGCCAAGAAACTTCTAAAGTTTGTGATTTGTTTATAACAAATAAAATGCCACCCAAATTTAAATTTCAAGAAGGTAGCCTTTGTTGATTTATCGGTTTATAGAAGCAATGTGCATTTGGACTTATTTCAGGCGAGAAGGTGTTGTGCTTCCACGGGCCACTCATCTACGAAGCCAAATGCCTCAAATCCACTACCACCAAAGAGAAACAAGTCAGATATTTCATTCACTATGCCGGATGGAATAAGAAGTATGTTTTTGAGAAATCGGAGAGCTTGTTTTAACTATCCAGCTGTCCGTTAGATTGTTGTCTTTGTCCATAATACACTTAGCTAACACAAGCAAAGTCAACCGCCAAACATACAAACGTTAAAGCAAAATCCTTTTTTCTTAATAGTGCTTCTGAATAATCACACGTATTTTGATAAATTTTAGTTGGGACGAATGGGTGCCCGAAAGCCGTGTTCTAAAGTACAATGAGGCAAATGTGGCTCGTCAGAAAGAAGTCCAGAAAGCTCACTTGGCTCAGGGCAAACAGAAGAAAACCAGTAAGAAAAACTCAATATCTAAAACGGATTCTGTGAAGGATTCGGACTCCAGAGCCAGTACCCCTGTGTCTGATATCACGAAAGGGGGCAAAACTAGCAAACGGGACATTACCACTCCCTCCAGTGGACCGGAATCCAGCTCTGATGCTCCTCGCAAAAAGAGAGGTATGCTGTTCATCATTCATCAGATAATCATTGGGTGTACTTATTACATATTTCTTTCCATATGTTAGCCAAACTTGATTCAACAGTGGAGTCCGAGGATACGTTCCAAAGTAAAGTCGAAATTAGGATAAAGCTGCCTGATGAGTTAAAACCGTGGCTAGTTGATGACTGGGACTTAATCACACGGCAAAAGAAACTAGTTAATTTACCTGCAAAAATCACCGTTGACCAAATTCTGGAAAACTATCTGACCTACAAGAAGTCAATCAAATCAAACAACACCAGTAAAGAAAGTGCCACTATTGAAACAGTTAGAGGTCAGTATCAGTCATTTACTTCTGCAATTTCAGCATCAAACTGAAGTGACCAAGATAAAAATTATTGTATATGTGTATTTGTTTGAAAACACATATCATTGCAATTGTTAATGCATAATATAATTTAATGGCTGAAGGATGCGGGAGAATTTCAAGAAGCTTGAAAATACCCGAACATCTTATAATAATCGTCTTTATCCGACAGTTATGGAAAGTTCCAGCCGTTAGAAAATGTTTTTTATAAATTGAAAAATGCTAAAGTACGTTCTGTTATCTTATGTGTAGTGTATTCGCTTTTAAAGGAAACTTCCATTGAATCTGTAATACGTATCTGAATAGATATGTAACAGCGATAGAAATTAAATATTTGTGTTCCAGGAATTAAGGAGTACTTCAATGTTACTCTCGGAACTCAACTTTTATATAAATTCGAACGCCCGCAGTATGCAGATATTCTACAGGAGCATCCGGGCAAGCCTATGTCAGAGATTTATGGGGCCATTCATCTTTTACGGCTCTTTGTCCGGTAATTACCTTTTCTCTGCGTGCTTAAGACAATCTACCCTCAGTCTGAGCATATTTCATTTCCAGGCTCGGTTCCATGTTAGCTTACACTCCACTAGATGAAAAAAGTATACAAATTCTGCTACAAAACATCCAGGACTTCCTCAAATACACAATAAAAAATGCCGCACAATTGTTTAATCTGCAAGATTATGGTAATGCCTCGCCGGAGTATCATCGGAAAGCTCTATGATATATGGAAAATGACAGTGAGCTCTCTCGCAGTTCTAGGAGTACTAATAGTGATTGAATTATATGAATTACAAAAAGTGTTAGGACTTGAGCTAATCCTGAATAAGCGGTCTGTTTAATCATCTAAAGTTTTTACTTTAATTGAAGATAATAAAAGTATGTGCTTTCGATGAAAGGTATTGACGTTAAATTATTTCCGTGAGTACTCAATAGTAGCCGACTATTTGTTAATTGATAAAATGTTCTTAAAGATTGCAATCGGGATGGCTTCCAAGATGTTTTCGTTTTATTTTGAAGTATGAAAAATTGTTTCTTAGTGCTAAGCATATAAATAATGAGGCTATTGCATTGTAATTTTCAATGATTTCAATACGACTAATCATCTGCTTAAATGCGCAGATTTAAGGTAATTTAGTAGAGTTGCTAAATAAGTTTACTTTGTGTAAAAAGTGGCATACATTTTTCATGTAATTTTGCCTCTATGCGAAAGTTTCACAGTGTAAATAAATTAAACTTTAGTACTCGATGTTGTGCATTTAATGCAGTGCGGGTAAGGAACTGAACGGGTAATTCATCAACACATCTATTTACACTTTTTGAACGCTATAAAACTTTTTAAATCCCAGTGCTTTACATGCTACGAACCTTCTTCTTTTCTCTGTATACGCATTCTTGTTGGACTGGAAAAAAAATTATTTCACTTTAACTAGGCTCTGCTTGAAGTGTCTGGTTCGCGTTTTAGTAGGGAATGCTTCATTATCTAAGTGCAGGAGTTATTTTTGTATGTTTTCCAATAGAAAAATTGACTGAAATTTATATTTTTGCAATAGCTATTAGCTGTATAAAATTATTATTTATATTTTACCATTAAATTATTGCTTACGTATACATATTGCTTTTTTCATATGTAGATTGTACTGTTAAGAACCTGCATTCTTTTAGCTTCATACAACACGAACATAAACGATTTGCCAAATTTATATTTGGGATTGCATTAGTTAGATTTATTTTTCTTTTTAACAATGTTAAGCCGGTATCTGCACCAAAACGAGAATTCACTGTCAGATATTTACTACAGTCTCGGAGTTATGAAAGGTGTGAAAACTGCAAACTTCTGTGATCGAAATCTGGTAATGAATTTCTCCAAGAAATGCCACTACAACGTAGGCCTAATGCCATAAACTAGTCAATTACGTGAGCAGAGACTAATTAAAAGTTAGTTAACGCGACCGTAAACCTCTGAATAACAATGAGACATACGAATATACAATTTAGCATAAAATTTGTTACCGTAAGGGTCGAATCTGATTACTTCCAGTTTATCGGCTAGTCTGGGCCTAATTTTGTTGAACGTATGACCAGAAACCAAACTTTCCATTTGGACCATGATGTCTCTGGAAAATCCGGTATATGACTATCAGCATCAAGCGAAGAGTTGCTACTTACTTTGCTTTCACTTTTTTTAAAAGAACTCTCGTTATAAACATTGCTTTAATTTAAATAATAAATATTTTGGTAAAAAGCTACAAGTACCTCCAAAAACGAATACCGAATAACAGAGGTTACTCTGTGATCTGTCATACAAAAAAACTGTCAACTGTCTATCAAACTATTTAGCTTGCAAATCTCACGATTACGGCAAAGCGCATTTAGTCGCGCCGCCAGCGATGCGGGCTGGTGATTAAACCGCCAAATTCAGATGTTATTCAAGTTAATTTATCATTAAAAATGCCGAAAAAATCAGTTTTTTTAAATGACTGTTCTAAGCTTGGGCTTTCAACTAACCACCTACCAAATTTGGGTTTTGCAATGAATACAATTTATTCATTGTATCATGATAGCTGCCTGACGGTGAGCATCACTTGAACTCGATACGCGCTGTCGCCAAATCTCCAAAATTGTCGATGCCAGCACTTCTGGAGGCGCGGGCACGCGTAACACGGAACTCAGGAAAGCTGAGAGTGAGCAGGCCCTGTACCGAACAGTCAATTCAATGACACTTCTATCTACTTGTCTGTATCTATATGACTTCAATTTGAATGTTGCCAGGATGCACTAAGTTGCTGAATTTTCTTGCCTTGGTTTTGCTATTTCCATGTTAGAAAAAATATCAGAAACGAAACCACCTTCATTCCATAATTTGAGAAAGGAGGAGCTGCTGAGAAGGCAGCTCGTTCCCTTGCACTAGTGTATTTTGTACCATTTTATCTTAAACTCTTTGCCAACATGCTAACGGCAACGTCGAAAACCGCTGGTTATTTCGGCTACTTGTCTTCATCTATGGTTTCGGCATAACCTAACATTTCTCCCTAACATGTCCCTAACCTACAAACTCCTCAAAATGAACTGCATAAAAGTATTTAATTTTAGAGGTAATTTCCATATACTCATATTTTAGAGAGATTCATCATATTGTGGATTTTTAGCGCCAGCTGTATCCTTAGTGCAAAAATGCGGCTTTAAAAACTTCAGAGCGCCACCCACCTATGATGGTAAATACTAGCACATTTCGCATTCCATGAATTCTAACTGATGGATTCCTCTAATTGAAAGGCTTAACTCAACATCAATGATTTCAGACATTGAAATGCCTGAGAAACCCAAACTGAGATTTATTGACAAAATCCCAAATTTACCACCTAATATCAGACCACCAAAAATGCAGAAACGATTGAGATACATGAGGGGACCAGAAGAGACTCATAATTTTCTGCAACATAAGCAATTTGGAATTATTGTAATGGTTTCATAATTGTTTTGGTTCTGACGACTAAAGTTTTGTTGCTGTCGTTTTAGGCTACGGGGGGTGGAAGACTGAAATGGGCCCACTTTGAAATGATGCGCCTTACAATTGGTAGGCAGCTTGATACTAGCCGGATGTTTGCCCTGTGGAGGGTGGATTCCCCCTGGCAGCCAGTGACAAAAAGGGGCCAAGGAATGCGTTTGGGTGGTGGCAAAGGAGCAATCGATCATTACGTAACGCCAATTAAAGCAGGTGTGAAATGCCGGGCTCTTATTGTCTTTTTGACTGTCGTTGAACAATATTTTTTTCGGTTTCAGGTCGCGTGATACTGGAACTGGGTGGAAAATGCGAATTCCGAGAAGTCGAGGGATTCTTAACAGACGTTGCAAACAAATTGCCTTTTAAAGCTATCGCAGTGTCTCAGAAAATGTTGACCGAGATGCAAAGGAAAGAAAAATGGGAGGAAGAGAATAATCAAAATCGATACACAATGAAATATTTAATACAGAATAATATGAATGGGTGTCACCAGTGGCTCTCGCCCTTCGATTTCAGGAACTTCTGTAAATACGTATAGAGCATTATATTAACTTTTTAATAAACAACTACCTACAGCATATTGAATTATTTCTGCTTGGGTTCTGGTAGATCCACTGGGAAAATTCCTTCCTCGATTTGTTCCTTCCACCTTTCAACCCAAGCGTTTGGGCATATGGCTTTAAAAATCTTTTCAAATTGCCGGCAACATTCGCATCTGAAATTATGTTCTATTAAATCACACTGCTTTTCTTTAAAATCTACATTATTTACTGAAAAATTATGTTTTTTCCTCAAAGACTTTTTTCCCAAGTTAAGTGTATTCGGTTAAAATATCAAGGGGTTGAATGGGGCATTCGAAAGTTCGAGAAATGCCTGATATTTTTGGATGAATATTAATTTAATTGAAGCAATAAGTAGAACAAAAAAATTGGTGTAAATTTTTTTACTCACCTGTCTCAGATGATTTGCATTTTTACAGGCCTACGAATCGTCTTTTTTTCGAGATCTTTTAAGTATACTTGCAAAATATCGGAAACAACATTTCTAAATTAATTTCATTTGCTAATTAACGTTTTCTCGTGCCACTTGAAGCTAAGTGGGAATTCGTTTTTTAAATAAAAAGAGCCACTCATCAACTCATAAAAAAACGCTGCGGAATTTTTAAATTTCAAATATTCTAAATTTGATGCAAAATACTCAAATTAAATTTGCATTGAATTTGCGGGACAAATTTCGATCATCTTTTGTAATATTTTCTTTGTTTTAATAATTTATGCGCAAGTAGTCTTCTATTTAACTGTCGATCAAGATATTATATCAAAATACGCTCGGGCTGGAGATTTGTTTAGTGATTTTATTACAATAACATGATTTTGTTCAATTTTAAATTTCGTTACTAACAAAGGAACATTGTAGAGCAAAACTTTATAAAGTAACTTGTTTGTTAAGTAATTCATTGTTTAACTTACTTTTCACCCAAAAGTCGAAGGCACTTGGTATGGTCTACAAACGATGTAAAACACCATTCAGTTGCATTCGCGTTGTGAAATCGGGCATCCGCAGGTACTGTCCTATTTTTCGGATCATCATAGTACTGAAATTTTGAGGAATATCAAATTTACATGGTATATGGTGGGTGTATGTTTTCTTAATGTATCGTCCAATGAAAATTATCAGATTTCCATCTGCAGGATGTTTCGCACCCCCAAAAATCCACTTGTGACAAACAAAAAGTACTTTATTATTTTTATAAAAAAATGGAACAGCATTAGCACAACATGCGCAAGAAATGTTACATAGTTTTGATTATGATAACACAAAAATATTAATCAATGAAGACAATTATAATAGGAGAAGAATCCATGAAATGATACAAATTAAAAAACATCAGAATGCAATGAATTTTAGATCAGACACAGACAATCTTAGCTCTATATATCATGCACTAATTAAACGAACACCTATATACACTAATTAGATCAACTACATAAAATATAAACACCTGGTATATTGAAGAAATGCAAACCAAGTGATCCTCAGAATGCAAAGAAAAATGCCAAATATTATAAACGGTTTTTTTATTCTTTTGCTCGATATTGGACGAAGTAAAGATTTTTCAGTGGCTTGCCAAATGTGAAAGTAGGAAGAACCAGACATGTAAATAAAATTTAAATATCTAAGCAATCAATTCTAATCTTTTCCCACACATGATTGTTCTGTAATCCCAAAAGATTCAAACGATTTTAATATACTTTTTAATTTGTTTGTAATTTGTATTTTAGTATGTATATTTAACAGAGCTCTTCTTTTAAACTAATAACGACTGTGAATGTATATTTTAGACAAACTGAAGACGGTGGAGGAAAACACCGAAACGTTTTAGTAATATTTTAAATGGTCAACAATAAAATTGACTGGAACCCGGGAATTTCTTTTGAATTAAGTTGAAATACAGTCAGGAAAATATATACAAATTATTTTTATACTCGGTCAGATAAAATATAGTTTCGAAGTTAAAAGACTTTACCATTCGTTATTTTTGGTCTCTTTAACACTTTGCTAGATTTTTTGCAGTAAAAGTTTTTTTTTAAATATAATTTGTTTAACAAGACGCAAAAGTATTTGATCAAAAATAGTGGTGCAAAAAAATCAGGTTTGAATCAATTTGCATGGTTTGGGTTCATTTTGGTTGATTTTACTCAGTTTAAACTGAATAATAAACACTGACTTTCCAATGTGCATGTTTAATCGTGAATTAATAGTTTTAAGTGACGATTATTATAAGTCGCTTGCTAATGTTATAATTCTTGTAATAATCGCTAAATATTATTTCAAAGTCAAGTGCTTCGTGCCAAATTCTCTATTTTTTTGCTAGAACTATGCAAAATATACTGAAAAAAAACTGAGAATTCCAAAGTCATGACTTCATCGGAAATTTGCGAACGTTTTTTGTAAAAGTCTGCTAATATTTGGCAAACACTTACGGGATCAGTTGGAGCTTCTCTAAGTTTAGGGAATAGAGTCGACATTGTTTCAAAACTGGAATTTTTGCTTTGCAAAAATTTAAAACTCCATATGCAACTACTTAGCTTTTTTGGCAACTTCAATCGGGCATGTACAAATTTACTGGTGGGAAATTCAAAAAATTTACCTGAAGATAATAGCGAGTTAGCAACCATCATGTGTGTGGCAGAATACAAATTTCAAAAGTTATTAGGATTTTGTAAAACAAGCACTGTACGCATTTAACAAACTGAATATATTTTCGGTACTAAGTTGAACATTTCGTTAAATTAAAATAATCCATTGCTTCATCGATCCTCAGCTTGTGCATAAAGGAACGCGAATAAGAAGTAAATAAAATTGACATCAGCTCTGGAATCCTCATAAAATTTGCATGTTTTAGCAAAGATTTGTGAGACATTTTTGTTTAAACTTTTCGTGATTTTTGAGAAAATCAATTTTCTAAGCTTAAATTTTAGAAAAAGATCTTGCGATATTTGTGTATCCGACTGGACTTTTATTCGACTAATTAAATTTTGCAATCGGGCCTTTTGCCGTTTTAATTTTATAAATGCTTTTGGTTGTTGTTGCATTAGGAAATTCATTCATTCATCAGCAAACTTACTTCAACTGAAGTAATTCTTCATTATTTCTTTATGTCGAAAAGCTCCATCAAATTAATAATATTTCTATTTCTTTGTCTTCTGATTAATATCTAATGATTTAAATTACTACACAATTTGAAGTCCATGTACGCGCCTCGTCTGAAAGCAAATCAATGTTTGGCTGGTAGAAATTGGTTAAATTGAAGCATTTTGCAGTTGACAAGGCAAATTATGCTGTTTATTCAGCTAATGCGTTTCCTGTTTGTCTATATTTACAGTTGTCTCAGGCATTACTAAGCTACACTGCATTGTGTCTTGCTGCTGTATTGAAATTGAAAAAATGAAACATGTTTTATTTATTTACAATACAACAAATAAGTATCAGAAATGTTTTTTAATTAGCATTATGCCATTTGTAGTCCTAAAATGAATTTGAGAATATAAGATAACCATTTTTTTCTGGTATAGTTTTGCTGTTATATATTGAAGATTGAAGATGAAGATAAGACGTAATTTATTTTATAAGGAAATGTTGTATTTGTAGACTTCTTTAGTAAGTACCACTGTGGAACAAATTAAAGCTGTGATTGACTAAACACTGATATATTCTAGTGAACTGGAAGCTCGAGAAAATTGTTTAAATCTTCTCTTAAAATGTATAACTAATATTTGAAAATTTCACCCTTCTATAAAATTCTGTTAGCAACCACTGTAAACCATACTTGATAAACAAGACAAATCGATTCATCCATCTAGTGAAAACTTACTTAAATAATGCCAAAGCAAGGAAAGTTTCAAAAGCCCCGACTCTATTGAAGCTTTTTTCGGTCGCTCTGAATAGGAGAAAGAGCAATTTCAAAGCGAAATAATGTTTTATCTTTTTTGCCGTCGTGTGTACATAAGGATTCGGGACACGAAAAAATCGGAAAAATATTAGAATGTGGAAGTAAAGCTGAAGGGTGTAGAACTTTACCAGAATGTCATGATCGTTTCAAGCTTTTTTCCAAGTCCGACTTTCTGAATTTCCTGCCACTAAAAACGTGTGACTTCAGTTAACATACCCTTGCAATGTTTCCCATAATATGATGGTATCGGCATTTCAGTGAAATGTTATGTGAACCGGAAATAATAGACGAAGGGGGCAAAAGAAACGATGGCACCTGTACAGGTCGTACCTTATGGGAACTTCCGATCGGGTCGGTCACACGCAGACACGCTTCGACACACGAAGGTACCAAAAACCAACATTTCAGGGTCCAGACTATTCAATATAATTTAATTATCCAGGTATTTCTATTTTGGCCATATAAAGGCATGTTATTTGAGATGGGCATTTGTTAAATGTACTTTGAATAGGCGTGAATGAATTCAGGAAAACAGGTCATGACAACTGCTTCTTTTTAATGCCAGTAATTTGGAATTATTTGTGATTTTTTAGCGAATCGTCCACCAACATGGTTTAGTGTCTGATGTAAAAATTTCAGACTTTTATTTTACTTTTTCTTATATATCATATAGTATTTTCTGTAGGCGCAAATATAGCGTGTGCTATAGAAAATCAGAGACTGTCAATGATTCCAAGAAGGTTAAATGCGAAAAAAGTATTAAAAAGTCAACAAAATTGCTATTTGGCAAGCTTGATGGAGATTTTCGTTTCGGACTTATTTAGTTTTGAGCCTGACTTAATTAATATCAAACAAAGGCAAACTCGATTGCACTTCCTCATAGCAATTAAGGCCCTATTTGATTATTTTAAAAAAGTGCTTTAACATTTAATTACTGTTAATTCGTTAGTTAAAATTTAGTAAATTTTGGATCAGGTTTTTGAATAAATCGTCAACAAATTGTTGATACGGACCTGTATTGTAAGCGCTGCTACTCACAGTGTCGGATATTATTTGGTTTGTAACCTTTTGGAGACTATTACTATAACAGTTCAAATTAATATTAAATAATAGAAAAAAAAAATCAAAAGAGTAGCCAGAAGCAATAAGACAAATGCCAGCAACATGAATAGAGTTAATATGTAACAATTGTTAAAAAAAATCCATTAACTAGTAGAAGTAGTACCGAATTTATATTAAAAAAGAAGAACTTTAAGAACTTTTAGAACTTTCTAATAAATAGATAAAACCTTTGTTGAAAAAATATATTTGATGATGGTTTAACGTAAATGCAAATTCTTCACAAAGGCTTAAATTTGTCATAAAAAAATGTAGTGGTTATGCTCTAACATAAACGATTTTTTAAAACTAATCAGAACCGAGAATTTGTATCAACAGTTTTGAAGTTTTTTAGTCTTGTTATTGCCCAGCTTTTTCTCGATTTAAGCAACTTACTGGTTCTTCCGGGCTTAGACAAGGTGTATATGGAATACATTTATACAGTACAAATACAACCTTATCATTTTTACTTGAAAATATTTCCCATCAGAAAAGCCGCAGCTTCAACGTGTCCGGGGGTTTTCCGATAAAAATACTCCTTGAATTTAAAATGAAATTGATTGATAATTGGAAATTATTGCGGATTATGAAAATTTTCGGGGGTATTTGTTGCTTGCAACGATACAATGACGATGTTGGCAGAGATTCTCCAAGTAAGTTGACAAGAAATTAGGAAATTTTTCTATTAATTGTGATCAACATGTTGAAAGTCTGCGTTGCATGCAATAAATGTAGCAAATTAATAAAGAAAAGTAGTCGATTCTTTACAGGCCCAAGTAAAGAATTTGGCTCCTTGCTTTGATCTACAAATCGTCACCAACACAAAACAGCAGAACGAAAATATAAAATTTATGTTGCTCTTACTGAAATTGCAACAATTTATTGTAAGCGCAATATCCAAGTGTAAAGTCGATCACGGTGAAGAA